TGCTATTACTACAGTGGTTGCCAGCTGTTTAATTTCACAAAACTTTTGTAAAATATTAATATTTTATGTTAATATTAGCATTTCAAAAATATTAATATTGAATTTAATATAATATATATACTATTTGAAGCAATTAAATATATTAATAAGACACATTAATATTTTTTAAGAAATTGAAATTGTGTAATGTTCCTCTTCATAAATATATCAGTCATTTTGGTTATCTTTAAAATGTGGTACAAAGCACTTGCTTGTCCTGCATTCGGAAAGCAATATATGAAAACATCCTTAAAGTGTGTGACATAAGGTTTGCTACCAGTTTATGTTCTTTGATATAAGACATATGTGTAAAATTTTTAAACAGAGAAAAATTCATCGGAGAATTGGAGTTGCAAATAGCAAATGTAGTAGAGACATTTGTACATAGAGAGCCTTCCATTTGCAACCATTGTATTTTAAGAAATACTTTAATAATTTCTTAGGCTTTCTTTGTGTTAAAAATTCAAATTTTCCTCAACAGCACTTGAGGTGTATTAAATTTACTGCTATTTAGAAAAATGTCTTACATTTTTAATCCACTTGTTCTTGGAAAAATTTAAAACATTAATTGGAGAAAACTTGGGTAAGGTGTGATCTGTTCAGAACTGTATTCAGTAAGGTAGTATGAAGTGATAGGTATAAAACATTGCTCACAGACATTTTGAATCTAGTTTTCATCTGCTTTGTTTATGTTGTGAAGTAACTGATAAGCTCTTTATATGAGTAAAATTTCAATTATAAAAAATAGTTTCAGTCAATAACTTAAGTGAAAATGTGTGCAACATTCACTAGTTTGCTTTTATAGCTCAGATAGCTTTCAAATTATATCAAAGTATGATTTGTGTGAAAATGTGCTTAATTAGGAACAACATTTAAGATGGAGAAACTTTTTAAAAGTTTCTGCTCCCAACATAATAAGCCTATTATTAAAAAATATATAAAAAATAGCATGTATGGAAGAATTTTGAAGTACTGTCAGAAGAAATGCTCTTTTATATATTACTTTATGTAGGCACAGAGTAATGAGTCATTGTAAAATTATGTAGGTACTTTTTGCAAGCATTAGATGTAATAAAATCAAATTCTTATTGTTTCAAATACTGCTTCACATTACTTGTATATACTAAATAAATTGATTGAAACAATGTAGAATTATAAATATATATATGTAATCATACATTTTTATTGTATTTGAGTAATGATAGTTTAGGCAAAATGAATGAGTTTTTTTTTTTTTTTTTTTTTTTTTTTTCATGACTTACTAGGAATATTAGTGTGTATCTTTATTTTATGATGAAAAGTATAAAACCTGGATGCAGTAAGTCCATTTTATTGGGAAGAACTATTAATATTCTGTAGATTTAATAGTATGACAATCAGTTATAAATCTTTAAAAAAATACCAAAACAGCCTGAAAACTGAATAAATGTTGTTAAAATGATAAATGCTTTCCACAAGTTATAGATATTATTTAGCTTAAAATCTAGATATGTTTAAACATTAGAAATATAACCATATACTTCTAATGTTTCTTATGCATTATCTTTAAAAATATAAACATAACAATAAATATGATTATGTATCTGGTAACCAGATCTATATTACTAGATTTTATGTTAATTAGTAATAAATCTTTTTATGTAAAAATCTCTCAGAGTAATTAACAATTTAACAAAACAAGTTCCTCATACATCACTGTATACATGATGAATACTAAAGCTAAAACTTTAAATATGAGGTTTAATATTAATTATTCTATAATTTTACTTATAGAATTTTAGATAGAAATTAAAAATATCGTGAAAAAAAGGATACGATATTTCTGATAATTTTCCATTTTTATGTAGCAATAAATACTCTTAAAAGATCTTGTGTTAGTTTAGAATTTTTTAATTGTATTTAAATTTTAATGCAAAGCATATTTGATTTGGGCAAGCAAAAAATACCATAACTTGATTTACAATGAAAGAGATTCTATTATTCTGAAATTAAGGGGGGGGATAATAGGTTAGCATAGATTTTATACTGTGAATATAATAAATAATGGGAAATATTAATTTACACGAGTTTTATATAATATCCATGCTAATCTAAGGTTCTCTCCTAATTTTGTACATAATTTGTCGATAATAACAATTTTTGCTGTTTCAAAAAAAAGCCACTGTCAAAAAAACATCAAATTTTTTATATATGTACTGTCTTTCAAGCAATATGTGATAAGTTTTATATAATGATGAAAAATGTTATATTTCTTGTTGGAGAAGTAGACTTAAGACTTGGAGTTTAATGAAAAATGAAAGCTTTTTCTCAATGCCATTTCTTGTATATATGTTTGTGAAATTCCATTTGTATTCCTTGTTCAAGATTTCATGCTTAATATATGATTTTGTATGGGTAATAAACTTAAATGTTCTACTTTGTAACTATTTATAAGATAAAAAATGGAATATATTAATGCAGTTTTTCTGCTGTTATTTGTAATAATCATAGAATACGATTTTAATTTGTAAAGAATTGTTGAATGAAAATCTTTTTCATGTCTAATAAAAATATCTATTGAAATAATGTTTTATAATCAAACATATTTAAAGTTTCATCGTAATCCCTAGAGTGGCATATATAGTACATAATATTTTGCTATAATATTCATTATTTATAACCCAAATATGAAAATATTTAAGATGGCATAATGTTTCATAAATTAATCAAGTATGAGATCTGCTCATGAACAGGTATGAACTGTTACATCACTTGAAAGATAAAACTGATTTCTAAAACCAGGCAATATTGAAATTTACGCTTTACACTGTAAGGATTATGCTAATTTTATTAACATTTAAATTTTAAGTTAAAGTTCCTTTCCTGTCAAATTCTTAACTTCAACTTACTACTTCCAGCCAAAACGTAGTTTTGGTTTCTTTCTGAATACTTAATGAGGAGGAGCGGTATTTAAACCGCGAAGTTCTACCGCGAATTAAGCAACACCTCCTAGAACTACTAGTTAGTTCTAGGAGGTGTTGGTTAGAGAGAATCAGAGTTTCTGATTTACGCACGTCTGCCTTTTGGCTACTCTCTCTCTCTCAAAGCTGTTATTACGCTTGGCCGTACTCAAACCCTTGATAAGCTTCGTAGTCAAATAAAGTTAAGGGGCCAACTCGGTTAGAATCTTGATAGCTTCGGCTATATTTCTTTAGTTAATCTTAGTTTTAGTTTAATTCTTAGTCTCTTAAGTTCAAGCTCAAGTGTCGGCTTTGATTGTACGCTTCAAGACGGAGTTTTGTGTTAAATCTTATTGGAATAATATTGGGTTAGTTACTCTTCCATCTTGTTTCTTGTCACACGAACTTACACGATTATTCACTAACTAGTTCTTAAGATTCGTCTCTTCTTACAGTAACTGAGAGTTACACTAGTGAGAATCTTACAACACATTTTGAGGAAACTGGTGTAACTCCAATTTTGCCAAGCAGCAAATTATTCTGAACAATTTTACTTTCATCTAAAAATGTGAAACAAACAAATGCACCCACAAAACGTGACGAGACATTAAGAAAAATTAATTCTGTTAAGACTATTTAAAACAATTTCAACAAAAATCAATTTGAAAGAATGGTTGTGGGGCCAATAGCATTTCATAAAGGAAGATTTTCTTTTTTGGCTAAAATCATATTCTTTAATGCAAAATGTTAACACACTCTAAAGTTGGGTAATTTATGTTAAATTGTATGAACAAATGTTCAATTCTGGTAATTAAATGTTTTTTCTCAGTTTTAAGTGTTTTCAAAAGATAGAATTTAATTATTAAATGCCTAGAGAGCCGAGAAATTCTATGTCATTACTCTTACCACTATTTCCTGCACAAGAAATGACCCATTCTGAAAGGAATATATATATTGAGTGTGAAACAAATCTTTGATGCATTTTCTAAAAAAGCTCTTTCTTCACATTACATTTGGTGACAACCTTAAATACCATATGCAGGTAACCTGTTCAGTAATCAGAATTTATTTGATTGGATTGAATTAAATAATTTAAATTATGTAATTTAAGACATTTCATTTTAATTTAAGACTAGCTGCAATCTCCATGTATCAATAATTATGACAAATTGAACTTTATTCAAAAATCATTCAAAAATTAAAAAATAATTTGTATAGCTCAATGGCAATTTCTATGCAATAAATGTTAACCTTTTACCATTTTAATTCTTCCAGAGGCAATGGCATATGTTAATAGTAAGTAAGATTTACTATTAACATATACACTTGCCTCTGGAACTTTTGCTATTTTGAAATTACTTTGCTATTTATTTGAATTAAAAGCTTTGACCTCATTGTAAAAACTTTGATTTCAATTTGCCCCCATTAAAATTATTTGACAATTATTATCGAGAGGTTTTGGACTATCCCTTTACACATATTGAAAAATAGGAATAAATGCTTGGTTATAAAATTTTTGTCATGTGAACATAAGTTTCCTAAATATAGTGACAGCAACAAGAGTTAATTGTCTGTATAAATAATTATATTAATTAAAAAACATTAAACACTCATTAATTTATGTAGCATTTCTTTTTTATTTAAAAACTGCTTTTACTATTTTAAAACAATGTTCAAATACAATACGCAATAAACTATATACCTGTGGCTCCCACTAATATGAAATTGACCATTCCTCAATACAGAACTTGCAGACTCAGATCAGTCAAGCTTTTTAATTTTTCCTATAAAGAGCTGCAGTTACACAGTAAATTTCTATCATTAATTTACTCTGATATATCATTCTGTTCATTAGAAAGTTACATAAATCATTCAAGATAATATTTTTAAGTCATAAACTATATTAAGCGATAAGAAGTTTTCAGAGTGAATAAAAGAATAAATTAATTTTTTAGAAAATACTATAATTTCATATTATTTAAAACCTGCAAATTTTCAGAAATGATATGCAATAACAAAATATTTATTCAAAACCATATTTATTAAATTACAAGAAAACAATGATAAAATCAAATTTTATTATTAACACTAAATTGAAAATTGTACTAAGAAGGCATCTTCCTTTTAGCAACTTTGATTATTTTATCATTATTCTGAATCAAAGAGACAAATGCAAGATTATATTGGTTTGCAAATTGCTTCACAACTTCTATCTGGCTTTCTGTATAACCAGGAGAAAACCTGTATTCCTTCTCATCAGAATCTAAAAATTGTTTTATTTCTTCTTCAACAACACTACGAAATTCTTCTGTTTCCAATAATTCTTTGGACTTTGCACTGTTTTTATTTTTGGTGGTAAATATGTTTTGACAGAACATACGCTCCCACTCTTCATGCTGTTTTCGATTTTTCTCTAGTTTCTGAATGGCAATATTTATACTCTTTTCATATGGCTTTAGCTTTTTTGCTCTATTTAGGTAGCTTTCTGCTTTTCCGTAGTCTTCCATCATATACAAAGCATAACCCATTCTATAAAGACCTTTGGGATTTTCTGTGTCAATCTTTAGAGCCAAATCAGAATATATTACTGCTTTCTGTGGATTCTGAAGATTTATATAGCATTGAGCTAAATTTAGATAAAGTTTCAGCAGATATTTTTTTCTTTTATCATCATTTTCTTCATTATCAACAGAAACATCTTCCAGTAACTTGACTACCTTGCGATATCTAGCAATAGCTTGCTTATACATTTTTTTTCGAAACAGTTCATTGCCCATTTGATGTTCACATTGAAAAACAGCAACTATTTTTTCAAAAGGTGCTTTTTTTTGATCTTCTGAAGACATTTCCTCAAACTCGATGGCATCTTTACTTTCAAAAAAATTAATTATTTCAACTTCATATAAAATATCAGCTCCACCTGGAATTCGAGGAGGGCAACCCATTGTACCATATGCATATGCATAGCTAACAATAAACCTAGATATTTCTTCTTTCTTCATTGTCTGAATAGCTAATTCTAATCCAGGAATTACTGCTCCATCTCCTAACCTATGGAAAAAAGAAATCTCAATAAAAAGAGCATGCTACAGATATACATCATAATTAATTTGAGAATTTTAATTTATTTACTATTAATTTGAGATGCTATTCAAATCTCTTTGCAGCTGCCAGGACATTATCAATTGTTCCAAACTCATGTCCTCCGAGATTGATTTTGAGCTTGGCAAACAAGAGAGATAGCACATAGCTAAGTCCTAGGTAGTACACAGAAAAATGGAATTTTATTTTTTTGGTGTTAAACTTTTCTCACTGCCAATGCTATGTAATTTGGTTTACTAGCAAAGTGAACAAAACAATGTGTTCATAATTTCAGAATGGGCAAGCACAAATCTTCACATGCTCAAGTACCCTGAGTATATATCTGTGGATCTGTACAAACCATACACTTTGCTCTTTCTGATATTCCATCCATGAAAGCCTAGTACCATCTGAAGATCTGGTGTAAAGACATCAGAGCATCCCCTATAAGCTGTCCTCAACAACTCCTAATTTTATGAATTTGACACATATTATTTTACACGTGATGAACCTCTGCATTTTTGTGCAATATGGGAGGGGGACTTTAACACTCTTTACTAGCATAACAAACTGCTACAAAGGAATGAACTCAACTGATGGAAATCAAACTGCACACCTGAATTCCTTCTACTTTCCTTAAATTAGTCCATTAAGAAATCATTATCATTATTTTGGAAATGACCATAAATATCACAAATGAAATATTTTTAACAGTTTAAGGAATACTGAAAGTATGCAAAAAATTCTTTCTAAAATTGTTTAAACTGCACAAAAGAAGTTTTTTTTATACTTAAGGCCAAGCAAAGAAAGAGCAGGGTTACATAAATTGAATCAGCGTAAACTGGGATATTGTTGTAAATATCAAAGTATTAAAAATATCATTCAAATAAACTTTTTTTAAAATTTGCCAGTCTGTAATGAAACTTCATGAAACATTTTATTTATGTTATATTTCTTATATGTAATTATACACAAGTCCTTTTCTAAACTTTTTATGTGTTTGGTAATATAATGCTACATTTAAACTAAGCTCTGTAGTTATGCTACATTCTCAAATTACCAAAAATGATTCCAATTTTTCTGATATGAATATTCATCAATAAATGGCAAATCCAAATTTCTACTGCCCGATTTGATTGCAGTGGCTATATATAGTCTTGAGCTGGCCTTGATTATGATTCATCTATCCAAAGTCAAAAGCTCCGTTTCTGACACTGAAAAATCACTGCAAAGAAATTTAAAAACTGCACTGAGTATGTTCATATTTTCAAAATGATTAACATCTTTGTCCATGGCTGAAAAGTATGCTGATTAGAATTAATCAACAAAGTTTTCTTCTAATCCTTGTACATTTTAAAAAATTAGTAGGGATTCCGCAAAATGATGGATAGGTTAAATTTTTTAAATTTATTATTTTAAATAATTAAATAATTTAAAATTATTGAATATTATTTTAAAGGTTACAAGCATAAAAGGTTGAAAAATGCTGTATGCTAACTATTGCAAAGAAATGTATTATAAACTTGCAAAATTTCATCAATATGAAACTTAACTTCTGCCTTATTTTTGAATAAAACCCTGCTATATGATGATGCGAATACTCAACAAAAGTAAATTCAGCAATTTTAGTACAAATGTAAATATTGTGCTTAGCTGATGACTTAAAACAAAATTGCCTCATTAAGATGTGTAGAAATGGCAGTGCTATATTTCCCATGCAATTTCACTCGGAAGAAAGAAAAAAATGACTGGCCTTTCTGTAGGAAACTACAGCAGAATTTCCTGCATTTAGTTTACTTGGGTACTGGTGAGCTTTTGTTTGCAAAAAATACATACATAACAAAATATATTTAATACCCATATTCCATAGCTTTTCTGCATTCAAAGTTTATTGTTACAAATATATGACAGCTTTTACTTAAAAAAAATTTGGATAATATTATTCCTTTTGCAAAAATTGTTTAAGAAAAAGCTTTCTGATGAAACCCTAACAGCATGTTAGACTCTTGACAATGTTCTGCTTATGTACTGTTTCAAATGAATAATGCTTTTTTCCCTAAATCGTAGTATTTCAAACAAAGAGCAAAAGACATAAAGCATTCTTTCAATATTTTTATTTAATAAAGTATTCACAATTTATGGGAACTAATTGTTTATTTATTTTTTCTTCTCGAGAAAGATCACAGAAATGTCTACATCTAACACAAATTACATACTTTAATGTAAATTTGATGAAAACTTGAATAAAATTTTTCGGTACTTGCATATTTTCCCATTTACCCTTTTTCGCAAGTAATCATATAAAATTAAAAAAAAAAAAAAAAAAACAAAAAAAAACTGAAACAGTTCAGATTTTAATGATTGCCCAAAAGCATTTATTAATGTTTTTTATTCTCTCGCTGAGCTCACAGACTGCTGTTGCACTCACACCTGCTAGCTGTATTATTAAGCACCATTTTCTATGAGCTTACACCATATATAATTCAAGAACAGAATTACAGCCTATGTTTAGAATTCCTGATGCAGTGTTAAGTGTTGGTGTAACATCTTCTATTTTTTACAATCTCTTCTCAGTTCATCATATCAATGATCAATATTCTTCGTAAGACGGCCAACAAAACTTCCTTTTTGTGTGTATTTTTATTATTAATGTTTTGTGTATTAACTGTATTTATTAGATATGTTCTTCACATTTATGTTACATAAACTTCAATTCAACAGCAAATTGACAAAATATTTAAAAACAACATACCTTTAGAATTTCCGACAGACAGTCTCACATGCTGGAGATAAAAATATTTTATTCCGTTCAATGTTGCCACAGATCACTTTCAAATCATTGAGTTTGTTAGTCAAAAATTCATTAAAGTTTTACAAAACATGAAATAGACAATAAAACAAATTCCAAATTCAGGCTTCTTGGTGCACATGTTTGGGTGGAAGGCTACGTTATTCAAAAATTAATGGCTCTAAGTATCATCGGTTTCTTTAAAAATAATGCAAGGCAATAGTATTTGGTGGCAACCTTTTGAAAAGTGATTCAACATTTATAGGAATGATGCAAAAATCCCATTTCAAGACTAATAGCCTATTGGGGCTAACGCCCTTTCTGGCTAATAGCTGTCATCAAACTATACAGTGGTGGCCAAAATTGTGGACACTTTTAGAAATTTTTATGTTTTTGAACTTTGTATGCTTATAGAAAATGTTACGTTTTGCAAAATGCAAACTTGTATATATCATTTTAAAGAGAATTTATTATTGAATTCAATACAAAACACAAAATTCAATTATTTGCAATACAAAAAAGTTATATATACTTTAATATAAATAAAAAACACAGTTATGAAGTGGTTTGTAATGTCTAGCTTTCCTGGCCAGTCACGGTTCTTGTTCTGAGAACCAATCAAATGTTAGTAACTGCCAGTAGAAGCTGACATCATGTTTACACTTGAAACAATTCATTATTTTGCTTTGTTCTGTAGAAGGAGGACCTGTTTCTTATACACTGCAATTACAAGTAGGAATTTTTGTAAAAATTTTTAATATTTAGTCAAGAAGCAATGACATCAAATAAAAGAGTAGATTGGACACCTAGAAAGAGATGTAATATTATTGTGTTACAAGAAAGTGGTCCTTCCTATGCTGAAATTGCAAGACAGGTGGGTGGTTCAGTGACTACATCTGGAGTCCGAAAGTTTTGTTTACGATATCAGGAGACAAATTCAATAAAAAACAAAGAAGGAAAAGGTCGAAAAAGGTGCACCACATCTATTGATGACAGAAGAATAAAAAGACTAATAAAGAGAAGAATAAAAAGTCTCCAAGATAGAAAAGTGTTATCAGTGGCCATCAGAAGTGATCTGAATGGTGTTGGTGTTTCTGTCAGTTCAAGAACAATCAGGAGAAGATTAACAGATGTTGGACTGAGAGGTAAAATTCCACGAAAAAAGCCTTATCTTAATTTTCAGCAACGAAAAAAAAAGACTACAGTGGGCAAAGGAACACATTAATTGGACAGATGATCAGTGGTCACAAGTTATATGGAGTGATGAAACTAAGATATCGTTATTCGGTAGTGATGGACGAAAATATGTAAGACGTAGAATAGGAGAAAAGCTACATCCTGACTGCATTCAAGCAACTGTGAAGAACCCAGTTAGTGTTATAATTTGGTCATGCATGTCAGCAGATGATATTGGTTGCCTTCATGTCATCGATGGGACACTGAATGCCAGAAAATACATTGACACTATTCTAGAACTAAAACTTCTACCTTCCATCAGAGATCTTTTTCCCAACAATGCTTTGTTTATTTTTCAGCAGGATTCTGCTCTTTGCCACACGGCCAAAATATCAAAAGAGTGTTTTCGTACAAAGAGCATTAAATTGTTGTCATGGCCAGGAAACAGTCCTGACCTCAATCCTATCGAAAATTTGTGGCACCGTTTGAAAACTCTTGTCCTAATGAGGCGCCCATCAAATAAAAGGGAACTAATTGAGGCTATAATTGTTTCCTGGCATCACGTAATAACGAAAGAAGAGCTTTTAAAACTCTTGTCAGCTCAATGAAACGTAATGTGAAGCTGTAATCAAAAATAAAGGATACCCTACTAAGTACTGATAACTCACTGCAATCATCACTGTCTAATGTATATATATTGATAACTTTTTTTGTATTGCAAATAATTGAATTTTGTGTTTTGTATTGAATTCAGTAATAAATTCTCTTTAAAATGATATATACAAGTTCGCATTTTGTGAAACGTAACGTTTTCTATAAGTATACAAAGTTCAAAAACATAAAAATTTCCAAAAGTGTCCACAATTTTGGCCACCACTGTATAAATCTAGTGACAGTAATGGACAAGTGTGGCATCACAACAGATTCATGAGATCTTTGGTTTCTTGCAACTCTGATCCTTAACAAGCAAGTATAATTTTTGTAAAAGAACATACAAATAAACTGCTATTTCTTTGTTTTTTCCCCTGCTGACTTCTGAAAAAAAAATTATTGAAATTTAAGAATTATTAAAATTATACAGTAGAGCAGCAGGGGTGTATTTTCAAAATTATGGAATGGCTAGACAGAATGTGGCAATCACTAAAATGGCAAAATAAAAGATACTGCAAAATCACTCAACAAAACAGTGTTACCATGAATTGGTTGCTGAAATGATTAGAGCGAATTAAAAAAAAAATTTTGGGCGAATAATCTCAAAACTTAGGTTCATATTTACTTAAGTTTTTTTATATGCTATATTGTAACTTATACCTGTTGATTTTCTATTTAATTCAAGAGTGTGTGGGGAATCGCTTACTTTTTCCCCCAACATATGGCCGCAATATCCAGAACTTGATGTCTTTCCCCATCGCAAAAGTGCATTATGGGATGCTAGAGAATGTTCTGTTCTTTTGGACCCTGCAATGATCTAGCTAGCAGCATGTGATCTAGCTTCTTTAATAGCAAAAGCAATAATTAAAATTATGTATTTGTTGGTGAATTTTATTCTAAGGCAGGGGTCTCCAAACATTTCAGACCCTGAGCCATAGTGGCTCTTTCACAAAGCTTCGAGGGCCAAGATCCAATTAATTCATCATACCACAGTGATGCAATTATGATGAAGTGATTTTTGTGATTGGTTTTATATACATAACCATCGAAAAGCTTTTATTTTTAGACTTTCATGCAGTTTCACCTAACATAAATTTCTTAAAGCTGTTTCCAAACATTTGCAAAAATACATTTTTGTCCCAGAACATTACAGATTTCTTCAGTTTAGTATGTACTTTACTTTTCAATTGTTTTACCTACCCGCTGTCACAATTTATCAGCACATTTTTATTTATTTTTGTTCACATGCAAACTCTCACTCACAAGTATTTCATATTTTGGTATCTCCAAGATTAAAATAAATTACGACAAAATTTAAAAAAGAAATCTGAAAGGTTTCAGGTTTTAAATTACATCCAAAGAGGCTTTTTTTAACATTTTCTGTGTTACCTTTATTTATTTATTATCATGCTCCTTGCACTTAAATCATAAAATTCAGTTCAACAGCAATTCACAAAATAATTTTAAAATAACCATATCTTTAGAATTTCCCATACACAATTCCATGCGCTGGAGATAAAAAGATCCCCCCCCCTCCGGTAGACTGTTGCCATTGCTCGATTTTAAATCCTTGAGTTTGTTAATCAAAAATTCGTTAAAATTTTTACAAAATATGAAACCGATAATAAAAAAAATTCCAAAGTTGGTCTTTCAGATGCCCATATTCGCAGTAGGATTACGTAATTCAAAATTTGATGGCTCTAGGTAATGGTTTCATTACAATGCCAGAAACATACATACATTTATGCAGATTTTTCATTACTTAATTTCTTCAAATATAATAACAGTGGTGGCAACAGTTTGAAAAGTGAAACAAACATTCAGAGTGATTCAACGCAAAACGAAAACAATAGTCCTTTAGGGACAAAGCCCCTTTGGACTAATAAACAGAACAAAAAATTAAGTTTTAAAGAAAATCACTATTGAAAATTTCTATGAACTGACCCAGAGTACAACTATGAAAGTAGGAAAGATAACACACAAAACATGTATTCTTGTAAAAAGTACAATGAGAGTTTTGTACTTCCTTGTGCAAATTGAAGGAAGTATTGTAATCGCGAAAAATTTAGGATATCATAGTTCAATGAAAATAACCTCTCTTGAACTCATTTGAATGATTTTTTGTGTGTGACATCAGTACGCACGCACAGAATAAAGGACTCTTTTTCCAAAAATGGAATCGGGAGAGATTTTTTTTATCACGTTTGTATGTATCTCGCATACTTAAAAAACTGCAATAACATGTAGTTGTGCACCTCCCATTTTGATTGCAATCGGCTGCGTCAGAAGTCTCTATCTCTCTCTATATATAACATCCACTCTGTTACCTGGCTCGGTGAGCTCATTTTTTTATTCTTATATGTTTGTAAAATGTGCATTTTTTGCTATAAAAGTGACTGAATTATGTTGTTCTTATATTTGTGTTAAGGTTTTAATGAATTGTGTTAATCTGCATGCAATCGTAGAATTATCGACAATTTAAAGCTGTTTAAGTGCTACTAAGCCTAATGAAGCTGCCATTTGTTTACATTTAATGCCTCTTGCTTTGTTTGAAAATGTTTTGAGTTTTTATCTATTTTTGTTTTGCCGCGTAGTCACAACTGAATTGATTGAATGACACATGTATATCAAATGTAATTCGAGGAAATAAGTTTTAAAGAAGTACAGCAAAAAATGCATAATTTAAAAGACGTATGAGGAGGTCATGCGTGACCACATGAAATTTTTTCATGTAGAGTGTTACAGAACTTCACTTATTGTAAATTTAGAAACGGTTTTATGTTATATAAAGAACATGCATGACAGGCTACGCATTTTTAGATTGGCTGTTACATAAAACAGTTAATGTATCACAAAAATTTATAAATTACTTTAAATTTTTAGTTTAAAGGGGCAATTCGCCTAGAAGGACTATTAATTTCGTTTTGGCATTTTGCGTTGAAAACTTTAAATGGTGTATCACTTTCCAAATTGTTGCCACCAAATATTAGAGCCCAGTATTATATTTAAAGAAATTAGATAATGAAGAATTTGCATGAATGTATGTATGTTTTTTGCATTGTGATAAAACAACGATACCTAGAGCCATCAAAATTTGAATAATATAATCTTCCATAGAATATGGGCATGTGGAAGCCCTAACTTGAATTTGAAATTTGTTTTTATCGATTTCATATTTTGTAACACTTCAAATAATTTTTTATTAACAAAATAAGCGATTTCAAAGCGAGCAATGGCAACACTGTGCGGGGAATCGAAAATTCTAAAGATATGCTCATTTTAAAATTATTTTGCGATATTGCTGTTGAACTGAATTTTATGGTTTGAGTACATAGAACATAGAACATGATATTTAATAAATAAAGGTAACACACAAAAGGTTAAAAACACATACATACACAATCGCCATTACCACAAGTGATTCAAACTTCTATTGGAATAGCCCATACAAATTTGATGGAATCTCTACAAACCTTCACAGTTGATGGGAAAATACAGAAGTACAAATTTTTTAAGTTTTTTAATATTTTAAAACTATACTCACAAAAATTTATAAGGCCTGTTTCTTAGATGTGTTGAATCAAATGGAAGCTTTGAATTTTCCAAATAAGCATCATAATGAATCATAACCACAGATTTCTCTGGTATCACAATACCTAAACCATGCTTTATGATCTAAAGAATAAAATGATTTAGTTTATACAAAAATTAACAAAATAAAATTACAGAATCATATTCTAAGCTTTCAGAAAGCACTTTAGAAAGTTCTAATGTAAGATTTTATATGCTTAGAATATAATTTGGTCGGCAAAGGAATTTAATAGAAGAATAGTTTCCTTGCAAGAAAAATTATACTAAAAATTGAGAAAATTCTACGTTTAATAGCTATTAATGGCATTAATAAGCTAAATATATAAACTTTCCTTCTACATTAGAATAAGCAAAACAATATTTTCTTTAAAAAATTAAAGTGACTTAAAACTTTTTGAAATATATTGTATTTACATCAAATTTGGTACCAAACACATATATGAAAATACTCAAAATATTTTCTACCATCAAAAAAATGATTCTTGAACATAGTTTGAGGAATCCTTGGGTCCAAGTATTTTTGTGATCAATTTTCTATGCATAATGTATCTGGTTGTGACAAAAGTTTTCCGCCAAAAAACATTCTGAATAAAGTTAGGGAAGAAAAACATGAAAACAGTATCTTTAGTGTGGTAACATGAAAACATGAAAACAGTAACACCAGCAAGATGTAGCTGCAGGTGTGAAACTCATTTGTCCTTATCTGCTTAAATCAGCTCATGCCGCACTCAGTGATTGAACTTGTACATCAAGTTTATGCGATGTATAGCGCAGCTAATGGACATGGCACTAATGTCCGACTCCTTTGCAAGCTCTTGAGTGGTTACACACCGATCTTCTTCCACAAGTTCTTGCAGGTGGGCCTCAATAACATCAGTAGGCTGGCCAGAGTGCTCTGGTTTTTGAATGTCAAGGGTCCTTGTTTTTGAACTTTCAATACCAAACCTTCACAGTGTATATTAATATCTAAAGCTGTATACATGATTTGGTGATATTCCTTAGCTGGCTTTTTGCAAAAGAACCGCAAGTGAATGATGGTTCTAATTTGGTAGCATGATAGTTCCATTTCAGACACTTAGTATTTAATTATAATGATATATTTTTACAAATTTTACAACACAGTGTTTTAAAGCAAGTCTCTCTTTGAAATGCCCAAAATCGCTTGACAAAATTATTACATGGCAATGTTAACTTTTTGCGCAGATGATATTTATTTGCAGTGGCATGAAACTTTTGTTAAAATTCGATATAAATAAACATAGTGAATACTTTTGTTGTGACCATCTATCTATGATGTGTTGGCTTTAGTTTTCCACATGCAAATTTTGATCGGAGGACAATCGGCGGTAAGCTAACGTGGTTGCCGCTGACGTCAAGATCGGCGGGTTGGCAGAGGATAATATATATGTACCCCGGTATCGGCAAATGTCTTGTTTTGTCTTTTTTGAGATTATGCACAATGTTAGCATTTATGCTAGCTTTCTTTCACTCAAATGATTTTAAATGTAAAGGCTACAGTGTTAGCTTTTAATTTTATTTTAATTTACGGAATAAAACATGAATTTTATTTAGATTGAATCTTAGCTTTATTTAAGGGAAGCAAAATATGCTTTGCTTTTATCACCACTGACAACAGGGTTATGGGCCCGCGCCAACAGCTAATCAGTCATCCAGTTCAACTCTGCATTGAAGGAATGTAGGTGAAGGGGCCGTTATCCACGAAAAGAAGCTGACCTGTCTTAGAAGTTTGTTCAAGTCGTTGTGCTCACTTAATTGAAGATGTCATTACTACCTGAAGGTTTTTGAGTTGTTAAACCATGACAACTGGGATCGATGGAAAGTCGACATGAAAATGCTGTTACTGGATAGAAATTGTTGGAGCTTCATAGAGGACAAGAAGAAGAATTAGATAAAAGTGCAACAAGGCGTGAAAAGCAGAGTTCACACTGAGGAGAGAACAGAGCCTTCACTACATTATATTATGGAATTAAAGCTGAGTTCAGGCCGCTGATACAAGAATGTTCAAGTGGTAAAGAAGCGTGGGAAGTTCTACAGAAGCAATTCGAACCCAAAACAAGTGCAGAAGTAGCGGAAATGGGTCGTAGATACTGCAGCTACAACTCATTTCTGTAATAATAGAAATTTAATGACAAATTTTGAAGAAATAAACGATATACATATGTCTTTAGCTGTAGGAAATTGTGAAAGTAAAGTACTAGGAAAGCGTACTGTCAAATTTGCAGTAAAAGTAGGCAATCGAATAAATTGGATTGCGTTCGATAATGTGTTATATAATCCAAATCTAAGAGAAATTTATTATCGGGAGCAAGGTTAGAAAAGGCTGGTGCTCATTTTGTGATTTCAAAAGGGAAGATGTGGATATACTTTAATAATTGGGATAGATTATGCTACGCTAAACGATATGACGGACTTTATCACGTAAAACCATTTTGATATGCAACAGGTAAAAGGGAAGCTAGTTACGGTATAGAAATTGGAAAGTTAAATAAAATAGACGATGCAATGCTATGGCATCGGAGATTTAGCCACATAAATTTTGATTATATTAAGAAAACTAGTAAGAATCAAAGCGTGAAAGGGTTACCAGAAATTGAAAAACCAATAGAGAGGTGTAAATCGTGTATTATTGCTAAATCTAGTAGAATAACTTTTAAATCTGTTCCGAAGAGATCGGATAAACCATTGCAGTTGGTTTATTTAGACGTTTGTTGCCCACTACCAGTTCCATCTAAGGGTGGGAGTAAATATTTTCCTTGCTATTGTAAGATGACTATAGTAGATTAGTAACAGTGTATTGTATGAAAAATAAAAATGAATCGTTCTACAACTTTAAGAATTATCATAGGCAAATGGAAAGACTGACGAATAGAAAATTAATAAGTATACACACCGATAATGGTGGGGAATTCTGTAACAGGCAATTCGAAGGGTACTTAGCCGAAAATGGAATTAGTGTTGAACGCACAAACGACGTACACCCCAGAAGGGAACAGTGTGTGTGAACGTTTTAACCGAACGGCATTAGACGCAGTTAAAGCTATGCTTAATGATGGTAAAATGGGAAAAGAATGGTGGGCAGAAGCTCTTGGCTGTTTCGTACATACGTGGAACAGAGTATGTCATAAAAGCAACCGAACCCCTTATGAAATGTTCCTAAATAGAAAACCCAGTGTTGTTTATTTTAAAATATTTGGTTGTAAAGCCTATGTTGGCGTGCCAAAACAGATTAGAAATAAATTACAAATGAGGTGCAAAGAAGGAATCATGGTAGGATATGCGAAGGAAACTAGGGGTTATAGGATATGGCTGCCATTAGAAGAACGCAGATTAATAGAAACCTGTAATGTGAAGTTCGATGAAAAACAACTGTATGCAGCAAATGGCATCCTGGATACAGAAATCAAAAACTAAATTTAAAAGACTAGAGGAATCTGAGCTATTAGCAGAATCAGATGAAGAACAGGAAACTTCTAGAGAAGAAATAAAGTTGTCAGATGACAAATCTACCTTCCGAAAGAAGTATCAGACTTAAACTGGCAAAGAAAAGCAGTTAAAAGGCCAGACGGAACACGTATACAGACATATATTATTATGTAGAGGGAACAGACACCCGTTTTAGATCCTATAATGATATTGAAAAGTATTGTGAGGCAAGAAATATTAAATATGAAAAAGATAAGTTCGATTTTAGTGGAAAAAACGAATACTCGGGGAAAGTTAATTTTCGTAGAACAGGAGACTAGCTCTGTGTCTGAAGAGGCAAATTCCGTAGAAATAGTTATCCCACAAAATTTTAAAGAAGCACGAAAATCAGTAAATGCCGAAGAAGAAGAATGGGATAAGGCAATGAAAGAAGAAATCGACACAATGAAAGAAAAGAAAGGTTTGGGAATTAGTCGAAAAGCCAGAAAATAAAACTATAATAGGAAACAAATGGGTCTATATGCTAAAAAGAATGAAAAGAATCAAGTGGTTAGATACAAAGCACGCTTAGTAGTAGCACAGGGATTCAGGCAGAAAAGAGGTGAAGATTTTGATGACGTTTACAGTCCTGTAGTAAATTTTTCAATCATAAGAATATTTTTCACTATACTGGTATGTTTATATGGGATGGACTAATTGTCAGTTAGATGTAAAGAACACATATTTATATGCAAACCTAAATGAGGAAAATATATATGACCCAACCAGAGGGATTTATTCGAAGGAGGAAAATAAAGTGTGTTTATTACACAAGGCCATTTACGGTCTACATCAAAGCGGCCGTGAATGGTTTTGTGAATTTGAAAGTACTTTAGAAAATCTACATTTTAAGAAAATACAATGGTGTAATTGTGTTAATTGTTGTATAAGGGTTCAAATGTAATTCTCTTGTTATATGTAGATGATATTGTGATTTTTAGTAAAGATCAATATAGTATAGATAAAGTAATTTCACAGCTGAGTAAGTTTTTTTATCTTAAAGTAATTAGGCAAAACTAAAACGTTACTTGGAATTGAATTCTTAGAGAATGAGAATGGGGGTTTTTATACATCAGCAAAAATATATCGAAAGAAATTTTTGAAAAATTTAAACATTTCCCAGATACCAATAACTTCACTTCCCATAGCTAAGGGCACTATTCTTACAAACTTAATTAGATTGTCCATCTACAAGTGCAGAAATTGTGGAAATGCATACATTACCCTTTAGAAATCTGTTAGGATGTTTAGTTTTTGTAGCTAACAGGACAAGGCCTGATATTACATATGCAGTGAATATCTTATCACAATTTCAGGAGAATCCTGGAATTAGGCATTGGGAAGCATTGTTGAAATTGCTTGGTTATCTCAATAGTACTAAATTATATAAGTTTAACTTATCGAAGATTAAACATCTAAATTTATATTGTTATTCAGATGCTGATTATGCAAGTAATAGAGATGACCGCGTGTCCATGGGAGGATTTATATTATATTTAGATGAAGTACCGGTATTAATCTGGAAACTGTTAAACAAAAATGTGTAAGTTTATCAACCATGGAAGCGGAGTATATCGCCTTATCTGAAGCAGCGAAGGAAT